TCCTTGCTAACACATAACACGTGTGTTGGGGGGGACGTGAAAAAAAAAAACAACGGAAAAGCGTCTCTTTTGCAGGTGACGACGTGGCGTCTATTAATCAACTTGCATCTTCCCCCACTTTACTCTGCACATTTAGCCGTGTTGAAATCACCGTATTAAAGACCTTCGAGAGTTGTTAAGGAGAACTTATAGTCTGGAACGAATTGCCATCTTGTTAATTGACACCGAAATGTTTGGCGAAAATACGAGTTTATTCACATTTTTGTCCTTGGAGGAAAATCGAGGCTCGAGGGCAACTTCGACAGCGTAAATAATGGTGCAAGAGGAATGTTTTCAGGCGGAAAAGGGAGCCACGTCTTGCGGGGTGGGGAGATGGGGTGGACGCCCTCAATTTCCCTGCTTCTTGATGGGGGGGGTGCTGAGCTAAGGGTCGCTGCACTTCTGGAAGGCAAGACGTCCCCCCGCCCACCGTCAGGATCCCTGGCTCCCGGAGTCCACTCCTCCCTGAGCCAAGCGTGCTGTGGGGTGTGTGTGTGTGTGTGTGTGTGTGTGTGTGTGTGTGTGTGTGTGTGTGTGTGTGTGTTGTGGGGCTCACCTGGGTTTGGGAAGGCAAGCACGTCCCGTTTCAGGATCACTGGCTCCCGGAGTCCACTCCTCGGGCTACCCCAGCCGCGCGTGCTGTGGTGTGTGTGTGTGTGTGTGTGTGTGTGTGTGTGTGTGTGTTTCGGGGCTCACCTGGGTTTGGCGGGCGCCCGCTGGAGGGAGCCGGTTGGCTGGGCCAAGGTCCCCTCGGGAAGGCGGGGCGCTGGGGCCTCCAGGTGTCCCACGGGCTCCAGGGGGAAACGGGACCGAGGGGGAAGCAGGGGAGGCCGGGTGAGGGGCTGGCCTGGTGTGTCCCAGAACCCCAAGTTCACAGGGAGGCCGGTTGGGTGCGGGACCCTGTTAGCCGTTTAGGTCTCCGGGATCGGCACCCAAGGGTTGGAAAAGTAGGGGGCGGGGGGCAGGAACCAATTCTGGGGGCTGTCGTCGGGCCTGCGGACGGCCGGCGGGGCGGCAGTTGTGTGTGTGTGTTGGGGGGGGAATCCGGGCCGGAGAAAGGTCGTGGGGTGCGGGGTGGCGGCGCCCGGGGAGCCCGAGGGGCCCGCCCGTCCGGAAGGGCCGCGGCCGTCCGGGCCTGCTCTGGCGCAGGGGAGTGTGGGAGGGCGGGCTTTTCGGCCCAAGCCCCCCGGCCTCCCCCGATCTGCCGATCTGGGGGCCCCACCCCTCGGGCAGGCCCGTTTAAGGGGGAGGAGAGGGCGCGGCCTGTCGTTGTGTAAAGGAACTCCGGGCAAGGAGTTTATGTCACGCCCCTGTGTTCGCCGAGAGTTTTTGACCCGCCCAGGGGCTCAAAAGATCTAATGGGGTATTTCATGGTGGGGGGAGGGGGGCTGTTGAGCCCTCAGCCCGGGAATCGGGGTTCTTTAGGCCCGCGCCTAGGCCTTTAGAGGTGACGTGGGTGCGGGGCTCATTAGCAGTCGTGCCCAAAGTTTTTGGAGACCCCAATGGTGCTGAGCCGGCAGCTCAGGACGCTGGCGTGCTTACAGGTCGGGGCATAACCAGTGTCCTCCCCCCTTCCAGCCCTCCTCTCCCGTCCCCCGCCCGGGGCAGTTCTGTGAGCTCAGGCTTAGGGCGGCGCCTCGGGGCCTAAGTCTTGGGGTGGGGGGGGGTCTGGGAATGCAACAGGGCGTCGCCCCCCACAGGCACTTCGGTGCCATCCCAGGGCACTAAACTCGAAGCCAGATTCATGGGTGACACCCCTTGGCCCCCGAAACGGCGTTGGGGGAAGGTGGGGTCTGGCTTCCCAGGGCCTTTCCATAAACAGGACCTGAGCCCGGTGACCAGCAACTGCAGGGGTATGTGTGTGTGGTGTGTGTTGGGGGGGGGGTTTATTCATTTTCACCCCCCCCCCCCGTCCCTAATTGAATTGTGGGGACCCGAAGGCAATCTTTTTTATTCTTCTTTTTCTTCTTTTATTGTCGTTGATGAGAAATCAGGAACCGATTCCCACACCTCTCCCCACCCCCCCCACCCCACCTCCCCACTCCCACTGCTTGTATTTCCACCCTGGCCATGGAAAACCGGGTAAAAGGAATCTGTTTTCACACACATTTTCATCTTTATTCAATGACAAGTGAACCATGACAGGAGGACCGATGAGTTCTGGGGTGGGTAGTTGCAGGTAGATGCTTGACTCTAACTTACCTGGCTGGTAGGGGTGGGTGGGTGCCAGTCCCAGCCTTGCCCGGGCAGCAGAAACAATACTCCAGGGTACACATTGCTCACTGCAGTACTGTTCCCGCTGCTAGGGCACGACTGAGTGCCAAGGACCTCCGAGTCTCCTCCGGACTGTGACTGGATTGTTCCACTTTCCCAGGGACCCTCCCTCCCCCTGGATTGGGGTGGGGTGGGGTGGGGTGTATGGTAAGATGCCCAGGAAAGGAAAAATACAACCCCCCAACCCCCTTCCCACCTACCTGCTCTGCGCTGGTCTTGGAGTAGGAGCCTGCAAGTTCAACAGACCACCACCACCTTCTAACTTCCCCCCAAAGGGGTATAGCAGCGCCTCACGTTTTGAATCTTTGAAAGCACTTCAAAACATGAATTGCTGCTGCATCCCCTCGGGAGTTAACGAAGGGGGGCTCGCTGTGAATGTGGCTTACCTGCTGTGGAAGAAAGAGTGACTGCAAGGCAGCCCTTTCCTGCCCCACTCACGGCAAGAAAGCAAAAATGTCTGCTGAACACACCCCATTCTGTACTATGCCTTTCCCTAAAGAATGAATCCTGGCTAAGTGTAGTAGTCAAGAGCCCAAGGGGTGGGAGAGAGAAATTAATCCAGGCAACACCCTTTCTTACCTGGGGAAGCGATCCTAAATTGAGTTTGGCTCTCTTGCCAACCCAAAAGCTCAGTACAACTCTTGCTGCTTACAATGACTATTAACTTTTCTTCATTGCCCCCACGATCAGAAAAAGACTTTATTGATTTAAAAGAGGTAATCTCAACTGATTCTAACACACAATAACTGGGAAATGTGTCTCTCCTTTTAAGTCTCCAGTGTTCCTTTCTTAGGGAACACCCTGCTTTTCAGGAAAGTAGAGTGATACCTGTCCCTCAATGAAACAGTTGGATGATGACTAGTTGTTACTCAAACTTCTTTCTATTTGATTTATCTCTCATGTCCCCCTGGCCCCGCCCATCAGAAGTCAAAAAGTTTAAACGGCTTGATGGTCAAATCTCTCCTTCCTGTCTCAAACAGCTCCACAAAAAACTCTTTCATATCCTGAAATGGCCGGCACTGTGCAGAGTCCTTAATGATTAACTCATTAGATACCACTTTTTCCCTCTTTAAAATGCACACACATTAGCAGTTAAGTTACACACACTCCCCCTCCCAACTCCCCCCTGCTGGTTTAAATGAAATATTCACTTAAGCATATAAAAACAACCCTGTAGTCTGTAGTTGCAAACTTGAAAGTGAAAACAACAAAAAGCAGCCCCAACTTTAATGGCTTTACAAGGAAAAAGGCATTTTGAGTATGTGTCTCCTGTTTTAAGTCATTTGAAAATCATGTCGGCTTTTTCAAAACCAGCTCAGTGGATGTGTCCTCTTTATTCTTGGATGAAATGTGCTGAGTGGAAAATGATATTAAGTTCTCTCATTAATGTTTTGGGGAATTCATAACACCAAACCTGAGATGCGGCTTTACCAAAGTTATTAATAAGAATTTACACCCCACTGCCTAAAATTGAAGCATATAATTGTTTCTAAATTCTGTCTTGTTTTCGCTACGCTATTCACCAACAACTTGAGGTTAATGGAGAAAAACGTCCTTGGTTGCCCTTAAAAAGAATAAAAACATGTTTAGTAGATGTACAGTAAGTATAAACTTTATGAATTTTTTCTGTTCCACACAAATACGTTCATCGTCACATCAGATATTAACAAGCCATCGCGAGGTTAACATTTCCTTATTAGATGTACTGAAAAGAAACAAAAGTTCATTAGAAATAACAATGGCGTGAAAGGCAAAGGTCCTTTTCAGATCAGTTCTGCACACTCGAAAGAATCGGATTTATTTTTTTCCCTTTTATTTAACCCCTTTCTTCTCTCCTAGTGACAGAACAACGACTTACATTCCTAAAAAGCCACCTCATTCCCGTGCTGCGGCGATTTCTCCGCAGACTGAAATAAACTTACGAAAACGGATCCCAAAGAGGCATCTTGGCACGCTGGGAGGAGGTCAGGGGCTGTTACAAAAGACAAAGAATTAATATTCGCGAGTTGCCCAATAGCCCCCGCCCCTTGGGGACTGAAAGGCTCAGCCCAAATCTTTTTGGAGCCAAAGAAGACGCATCTTCCTCAGTTCCTATTTTACCACCTTTTGTCTTAATTTTGCACACGCCTTCTTCCTCTAATTTTGCACGCAGAATCTTCCCTTGGCGGCGCCTTAGTGCCTCTGTTGGCCAAAGTCAAGTTTCCTAATGAGGGAGGGGGGGAAAAAGTTCTCATGGGGGAGGGGCAGAAGGAAACAATGCCAAAATGAATCACACGTTTATTCCCAAGACATTTTTCACTGCATGGAGTTAGGAGCCAAGATAAATCCCTTACCAGTCTGTCAAAGGCAGTGTCTCCGCACCCTGGTGCGGCTGACTGTCGCTCGCACCCCCTAACTCAGTTTTTTTTTCCTGCTCTCCCCTCCCCCCGCCCCAAAGCCGTTTCCTTAGAATTTCCTGGCTGTGCTCCAACGCCCAACCCTTCACCCGCGCTCCGGACTCTTTCCCACCCTCGCACCCACCCCCCCACCCAGCTAACTTGAAAGTTTTCTCGCCGTGGGCACCAGATCCACCCCTCCCCCACCCCGCCATCAGCCGTCACCCGCGTTACGGTCTGGAAAAACACCGGTCACCAAGACCCTGGGAGGGCGGGGGGAGGAGGAGGAGGAGGAGGAGGCAAACTTGCGTGTTACCTCTCGCTCCACTCGAAAATGGCGCCGAAATCGAAGAACTTCTTAAATTTCATTGTCAGTTCTTTGCAAAGGTTTCTGGGATTTTCCTGCGGAGCGGCTCGGCGGCGGCTGAGAGCTAGAAAAAAAGAGAAAGGAGGGGAGGAGAGAGACACGGCGGGGAAGGGTGGGGAGATGACACGGAGAAAGCGGGGCCGCAACGGTCGAGGTTGCAGGGCGCCCCGAGGCGGGCGCCGAGCAACCGGGACCGAGAGTCTGGCTGGCGGGCGGCGGCGGCGTCAGCGTCGGCGGCGGTGTCGGCGGCGGCGGCGGCGGCGGCGGCGGGTGAAGCCCGGAGAGCAGCGTGGCGGAGGCGGAGCAGGGCTGGAGCTGAGCGCACCGAGGAGGCGAGCGATGCAACCAGCGGAGAGCGGCTGGGAGCGGCCCTAGAAAAAGGCAGCTCGGCGGGCGTGGCCAGGCGCTTTCCCCGCCCCCCGCCCCCGCCCTCGGTTCCCCCCGCGCCGCTCGGGGGCCCGGGGGCGGAAGGGGGGGAGGGGAAAAGAGGGAGCGGGAGGGAAGGGGAAGACGGGGCGAGGGGGGTGGGGGTGCGGGCGCTCGACGCCACAGCCTTGGCCCGCTGCCGGGAAGGGCCGAGAAGGGCACCGGGCGCCCAGAATAGCAAAAGAGCCAGCGGAATAGCGGGGGGGTTCAGGAAGGGGGGAAAAAAGGGGGAGAGAGAGGTGGGAAAAGTGCCAAGTGAGGAGGGGGGCTGACGAGGTAGTACAGTCCTGCACCCCAAGGTGCCACGCCGCGTCCCCTGGTCCCTCGCGATGGCAAGGAGGGAGCCCGGATGACTTGAGTTAAAACAAAACAAAACAAAACAAAACACAAAAACAACCCCGGCCTCTGATTCCTGGAGGTGCCTGGAAGAGTTTGGGGGAGGAAAGTGGGGTGCGAGGGGGCTCGGAGTGAGCGGGGAGCGCCGTTCCCCCCAAAAGCTGCAGTTTTGATTTGTCCGAACTCCGAGGATTTGGTCACCCAGCAAAGCGCCCTCGGAGGGACGTCCCGGGGCCGAGGAAAGCCCCTTTGTGATCGCCATCTGCACCGGGGAACAGAACACGAAGGGAGGGAACCATCCTTACACCAGCCCCAGTCCCCGAAGGGAAACTGATTTTTAGACCGATGCGGGGCGGTAGGGTAAAATCTTTTTAAAATGCGACAGGCGGTGTAGCTTTTTAAAAAGAAAAGTGGGCGACGAAGAGTTTATTTCTTTAGGTTTTGAGAACGATACTGAAGGTAAGTCAGTGGCTGTCGGTTTCCTTAGAAGATGCGTGCTATAAGATGCATGCAGTTTTTCAAATGATGCAGCTAACACAGCGACACACACATACACAAAACACACACACAAGCGCGAGCGCGCGGCGGCGAGCAAGTGTTGCAATTTGTTAACAGTTGTTAAATAGAGGTGTATTTCGGGAGGGGGTGTGTGTGTGCAGGGGTGGATAAAAGGACATTCATTGAACTTCTCTTTCAACTTTCGGGGAGATGTGTAAAATGAAATCAACATGTTGCGAGGGTGGCAACCTGAGCGCCCGAACGCTGTCTAAGAAAACGGGCGCGGCTTTTTTCTTCTCTCTCTCTCTCCAGTCCCCGGGTGGAACAAATCGACGAGCCAGCGGGGCTTGAACCTAGTGCACTGTGTGTGCGTGGGAAGAGCAATGGGTAGCGCTGGCCTGCAGCGGCCACGGTGCCCCCCTCCCGGTGCCCCCTTCCCTCCCCGCCGCCCGCTCGGCGGGAGCCTCGGGCAGGTGTGGGTGGAGGCGCCGACCTTCGGCGGGGAGTTGCCGGCAGCCCTGGGCGCCGTGGGGCGCCTGCAGCCGAGCGAGCCTCCCAGCGCCCCGGCTACCCCGCGGCTGGGGCCCACGCTGTGGGACCGGCCGGGAGAATCGGGAGCCCCGGGGAGCCGAGCCCTGGGCTTAACGTCCGCGTCCTGTCGGCCCCTGCGCTCCCCGAGGGGAGCTGCGGCTTCGGGTGGCCTTTGGCCCGAGTTCTGGGCGCTGGGGGCCAAAACACAAAAATCCAGGTGCCCGAAGAAAATAGCAGCAAGCGGCACACACTTCGCACGCAACGGCGGCCGCTCACGAAAACAAAACCCGCCTTGCTCGCTTCCCGAGTTTCTGGAGCTACTTAACTCCTCACGGCGTTTTCGTCGCCGTGGCCGGAGTTCTGATGTGAAACTCTTGATTTCTTGGCAAAGGCGCGCCCGCAGACCCCGGGCCTTATATGCGTTGAGCAACTTTTTGCAGCGTTTGGGGGCTACTTTTTTTGGGGGGGGGTAGTAGGGGGTGGCGGTGAACTGAGGGAGAGTGGAGTCTTTCAGCGTCTGGAAAACTCGTGTGTGTGTGTGTGTGTGTGTGTGTGTGTGTTTTAAACTTCACCGAAAAGATTTGTGCAGACCAAGGCTTGACTTTTCAGGGAAGTTTTTTTTTTTTAATGTAACTTTATAACTACAGTGATTGGTGCGGCATCGTGGAACACTAAAAAAATGTCACCGAACTACACAGTTTCTCTATTAAAGTTCTCAAACCTCGTCTTCGTGGACAGAGCTGAAAGCCTGCCGAGCTGTCAGACGTGACTGAACAAGTTTCTAAATCCTCAGATAGATCATTTATAAAACTCCAGTGTCCTTGGGATGAAAGACTTTTCTGGGCTTTTAAGGCTCGGCTTCGTGGGTAAATTTACTTGAGTTGCTCTTGCTGCACGTAGTCATTCATCTCTCTACCTAGATTAGTAGGACTGAGAATTCCATCGCACTCAAGATAAAAGTGGAGTTTCTAGCGAGTCCGGTAAAGAAAAGTTGCCACAGTTTTCTTTATTAAGCTCTTTTTGCTACATCAGCAAAGTCGGGAGCCAGTTGAATATTGATGAATTCTTGGAGGGTGAGTAATATGGCTACAGGCCTTGGAAAGTGAGGGAGGGCAGGCTTGAGGATTTACTCCAGTGAACAATATTCACCCCCCCCCCGTCCCCCCCCCCCTGCGGCCCCAATACTATGTGTCTGGAATAGTCTTGCTTTTACTTAGGACTTCTGACGCCGACCCTGATTTTGCAAAGCGTTTCTCAGTCTAAGAGGCCCACCCGCACTTCCCAAGGCCAAATTTCCCGAACGGAGGGCTTAGAAACTCAACCTGGCATTAGAACCCAGGCAAACCGCTCATCAGCTAGGCAACAGCAAGTTCTTCTCATCAAGGCCCTTGAAGCAGGGAATCCGAAAGAAAATGGACACCATTCATAGTTTTTATTGTTGTTAGTTCTGAAATACTGTCTCCAAATAGGCATTTTCAGGAAAAGAGCACTTTAAAAGATATTTCTCTTTTTCTGCCACGAAACCTTTAGATGTGACCTTGATAAATAATTGCAGTCAATCTAGGGAGGACCGGTTAGTATTAGCTTTGAAAGGTCTAAAAATGCAGCTGAGAAAAATAAATTAGCATTAGATGAGCAATATTCAGCAAAAAAGTCACATGAGGTACAAGGCATTTGAAATTATTTTTGGAGTTTTTTTTTGAAAGGCAATTGCGAATAAATCTCGGAAAATATACATTAGAAAAATAAATTATTATTTTTAAATTATAAAAAATTCTGGGATTTCGAGTTTTATTTTTTTTTTTCATTTTAAAGAGAAATGTCTTTATAATTACTCTTGTCACGGAGGCCTTGAGTTAGGGAAACAAGACTTTTCTTATGCTGTAAATATCCAGAAGTCTTCAGAGAGATAAAATCAGGATAGAGTTACGGATTTAACCGAAAGAAAACAACTAGAATCATGTTATGAAGCTTCCACTGTGTTATTTGTAAGGGATTATTTTTTTTCAGGGTTCAAGCAAAGGCTAGTAGTGAGTAGAAACAATAGAATAATACTTGACCTTTTGTTAGATTAAGCAACAAGAAAAGATACCGGCCTTTGGTAAATTATATTTTCATTTGTGAAATAAGCTATCACTTGAAAAAAAAAGTTCTTTGCAAAATTTAGAACTTTGGGAATTTCCCCTTCCCCAGATCTTAGCTTTTCACACCCCCATGATCTCACCAGGAAAAAACTGAATGAATTTGTAACATTTTCCTTTCTGTTGAAGGGCTTAGTAAATCCTGGATGGCTGTTGCTTTTAATTTCTAGATCTGGCACCCCTCCTCAAAGGTGGAGACCCACTGCCTTGAATGCTGCTGGGATTTCTTTAAACACAGAGTGTTGTTCTTGCTGGGTGTGTACTATTGTGGCCTTAATTATTTCTGGAGTTTTGCCCATTCAATCAGACTGTCTCAGATGACAGAAATGATGGGACCTTTGCGCATAGGCAGCTTACAGCCAAGGAGCGTAGTTGCTGCCCCGGTGGAAACCCTGCTTTGCCCTGCATGGTAATCCTTCTAGAAAACAGCATCATTCGTCCTGTGTAGCTCAGCATACTGTGAACAGACCCAAACCAAGAGTTATCTGAGAGGGCTGCGGAGTTGGAAACCCCATTGCACGGGGGACCAAGACCACAGTTCAAGTGTCGCCTCAGGCTCCATTTGGTCACTCCCTTTCAGCATCAACCTGAAGGATCAGGTTTCTGCTCTGACATTTCTAGCCCTTTCCTTGAGACTCCCGTCGGAGTGAGAAAGAGAGGGAGAAGGGGAAAACCATTAGAGATGATTGTGAAGATGGCATATGCAATCCTGCTTCAGGAGGCAGAAGTACACTTCAACAGTCGGTGGATCCATTTATCTCAAAAAGTAAAGCACAGCAACAACAGCAACAAAATTGAAACAACAAGCGTTCCCCCTTCCCCAAAGTGACTAGCCCCAAGGAGGTCCTGTAAAAAGCCCAGAGACCTGCCAAGTCTGAGTGACATCACTTTTAGGATCTTGCCACATTAAAGGGAAGCCGTTTTTTTTTGGGGGGGGGGGCAGCGCACGGGGGCTGTGTGTGTGTGTGTGTGTGTGTGTGTGTGTGTGAAGGTCACAAATAATATCTGGTGGAGAGGAGGAAGGGAGCAGGAAATTGAAGGGTGCTAAGGGGTGCTAGCTTTGTTTAAAATCCAGATGCTGCTATGTTTTCCAAACCATGAAATACTTTGTTGAACTAGGGAAGGAGAGAAAGTCAATATGTCTAACTGAAACATTTACCTTAAAGCTGTTAACACTGAACTCTCCAGAAAGCCCCATAACTCTCATTCTTGTCCTCCTAACATAACTATTTGCATTTTTTTAAAAAAGGCCCAGGAGAAAGAGTTGCTAAGACTGGTAGAAAATGTTTTTTTTTTTATTTTTAACCCTCTGTCTCCTAAAAATTCTGTAGTTTAAAATCAGATGGGATTTTGCCAGAGCAAAACCAGAGGCAACCAGAAACCCTCCCCACCCCCCCGCCCCGCCCAATCCAGGGGCCTGAAAAGGGGACTGGAGTCCT